TACCGCCCCTGAAATCTGAACTGTGTTCAAAGTCTGAAACGTTTACCTTAGCAAATCCCTCATAAAACTCCATTTGGAAGAGTCCCGAGAGCTAATTTGTTAAGTATACTTGCAGAAGGTAGATGAGGAGACAGATTAAATCTTATTACCTCTTTCAGATGAGAGGCACTTGAGCCCTGCTCAGCTATGAGAATAAGAGAGGGGAATTAATTCTAATTGAATACACTTGTTCTCTCATGGCTGTTGTTCCCCACCAGAACCAAATGAGCGCAAGATCTGACAAAAAAAAAAAAAAGGTTCATCTTTTATTCCTCCAAACACTTTCATTTAAATCAAGAGGGTGGGATGTAGTTATTGCTGTGTTTTTAGACAAAATTAACGGTTTCTGGGTCTGAGATGTTGCATACACCCTCTCAATCCCTGTATCCTGAGATGGAGTCCCCTGAGAATCCACAGCAAGTCCTAACCAGGGATGGGTCTGGGTGATTCAGGAAAGTTGGCTTCAGAACTGGGCGAGGGGCACTGCTTTGCTTTTGCTGTTTTGATCAGCTCTCTGCCTGCAGGAGACAAGGAAAACCAATGGGAACAGGTTAGTTACACTCATAAATCCTGGGCTTATTTTATTAACTCACATAATAGCTATTAATTGCCTTTCCTCCAAGGAGCAAAAGGGGATATACGGTCAATGCCATAGTAAGTAACACTGTATTATGTTATACTAAACTATTAATAAATCTAGGTTGGTTCAGTCTTTCCTGATTTCATAGATTGGAAGCAGATTGAGGAAGGACTCTAGCGAACCACAGAGTTGAGCCATGTACACAGAAGAAATGTCTTTTTTTTGTTTTTGAGATGGAGTTTTGCTCTTGTTGCTCAGGCTGGAGTGCAATGGCACGATCTCGGCTCACTGCAACCTCCACCTCCCAGGTTCAAGCAATTCTCCTGCCTCAGCCTCCTGAGTGGCTGGGATTACAGGCGTGAGCCACCATGCTGAGCCATTTTTGTATTTTTGGTAAAGACGGGATTTTAACGCGTTGGCCAGGCTGGTCTCAAATTCCTGACCTCAGGTGATCTGCCCGCCTTGGCCTCCCAAAGTGCTGGGATTACAGGTGTGAGCCACTGCGCCTGGACAGAAGAAATCTTTATCTTGGTGTGTGGGCTCTGGTGAGGTACAAATGTCATCTCTCTTGGATCTGAATCTGGAAGGATCAAGGCACTGAAGGGATTTGTTTGTTTGTTTGTTTGAGACAGAGTCTCCCTCTGTTGCCAGGCTGGAGTGCAATGGCACGATCTCAGCTCACTGCAACCTCTGCCTCCCGCGCTCAAGCGATTCTCCTGCCTCAGCCTCCCGAGTAACTGGGACTACAGGCACGCATCACCACGCCCAGCTAATTTTTGTATTTTTAGTAGAGATGAGCGTTTTACCATGTTGGCCAGGATGGTCTGGATCTCTTGACCTCATGATCTGCCTGCCTTGGTCTCCCAAAGTACTGGGAATACAGGCATGAGCCACCGCGCCCGGCCTCACTGAAGGGATTTTTAATATCACGTGGCTCTCACAGGTGCGGTGTGTTCAGGTGCAAGTGAAGATTAGGACTGATGTTTAAAACCAAAAGTAAAATTCCAGGTGGTGTTGCTACGGAGAGCAGCATTAGGACAATCTGAGTGGTTTCAGTTGCAAGAGTATGTGTGTACGTGCAAGAACTACAGTCAAGATCCAACTTCTGGCTTTGAGGCGCTCTTTAATAACAGTAAGAACAACCTAAGGCATTTTAACAGTGTGGAATGGTTGCCTTTTAGAAATTAAGCTGTGGGCATGGAAGTTCAATCAGTACATTGAAGTTTTTCCTTTCTCTCTCCTATGGTTAATGGTTTCTGCAGAAAAGGACCAATTGATTTCTTTCTAAAACGTTGCTTCAGGGTGTAGAGACCTTTATAGGTCATGTTTCAACTTATAGAAAATTTTTATAGTTCAAATATAAATTACGTTCAATGTGGACTTTGTAATAGAATTTAAGGTTAAGTAAAGTTTCCACTTTCCTTAGGCTGTTTGCAGTGGCCAGCAGGCCCCATGATATCGAGATGGAAGCTATGTTAAAGGAGGAGATTGGTCAGGAGTGGGCGGAATAAGAAATACGGGCAGCTCAGGCTAATCACACAATGATTGAGGTGTAGAAAGAGGGCCAGGCATGGGATAACGCCTGTAATCCCAGTGCTTTGAGAGGCCAAGGCAACAGGATCGCTTGAGGTCAGGAGAACAGCCTGGTCAACAGAGTGAGACCTCATCTGTACAAAAAAAAAAAAAAATTAAAAAAATTAGTTGAGCATAGTGGTGTGTGCCTGTAGTCTCAGCCACTTGGGAGGCTGAGGTCGGGGGTCCCTTGAGCCCAGGAGTTTGAGGCTGCAGTGAGCAATAATCACTTATTGTACTCCAGCCTGGATGACAGGGTGAGGCCCTGGCTCAAAAAAAATTGTATCCCCTAAAAACATAAATTGGAAATCTTCATCCTCGATACCTAGGAATATGACCTTATTTGGAAATAGGATCTTTGTAAATGTCATCAAGTAATGATGGGTCATACTGGATTGGGGGCTGGTGAGGGGACAAATGCAATGACTGGTGTCCTTATAAAAGAAGAGAATGAGGGCCGGGCATAGTGGCTCATGCCTGTAATCCCAGCACTTTGGGAGGGTGAGGTGGGCAGATCACTTGAGGTCAGGAGTTCGAGACCAGCCTGGCCAACGTGGTGAAACTCCATCTCTACTAAAAATACAAAATTAGCCAGGCATGGTGGTGGGCGCCTGTAATCCCAGCTACTGGGAGGCTGAGGTAGGAGAATCACTTGAACCTGGGAAGCGGTGGTTGCAGTGAGCCAAGATTGTGCCACTGCACTCCAGCCTGGGTGACAGAGGGAAACTCCATCTCAAAAAAAATAAAATAAAAGAGGAGAATGTCTGGTGAAGACAGAGACACAGGGAGAAGGCAGCCATGTGATGAGGGAGGAGATTGGAGTGCTGCATTTACAAGGAACACCAAGCATTGCCGGGCGCCACCAGAAGCCAGAAGAGGCAAGGAAGGATTCTCTCTTACTTGTTTCAGCGGGAGCGAAGTCCGGCCGAAACCTTGATTTTGGACTTTGCAGCATCCAGGCCTGCAAGACAACACATTTCTGCTATCTCGGCTCACTGCAACCTCTGCCTCCTAGGTTCAAGCGATTCTCCTGCCTCAGCCTCTGGAGTAGCTGGGATTACAGGCATGCACCACCTCACCCAGCTAAGTTTTGTGTTTTTAGTAGAGATGGAGTTTCACCATGTTGACTGGGCTGGTCTCAAACTCCTGACCTCAAGTGATCCGCCCACCCGCCTGCTGGCCTCCCAAAGTGCTAGGATTACAGGTGTGAGCCACCGCACCCAGCCTTGTGGTTATTTTTTTAGACAAGATCCCGCTCCGTCATCCAGGCTAGAGTGTAGTGGTACAGTCTCAGCTTCTACAACCTCGACCTCCTTGGGCTCAGGTGATTTTCCCATCTCAGCCTGCCGAGTAACTGGGGCTACATGCTTGGCTAATTTTTATATTTTCTGTAGAGTTGGGGTCTTGCTGTGTTGCCCAGGCTGGTCTCAAACTCCTTGGGCTCAAGTCATCTGCCCGCCTTGGCCTCCCAAAGTGCTAGGATTATAGGCATGAGCCACTATCCCTGGCAACCCTTGTTAAAAAATAAAGAATTTCAGGATGGCAATGGCAGATTATTAAACCACAATGAGGACTCTTCTGTGTCCCTGTGGGACTGTCCAGGTTGTAAGCCCATGAAGCCGGCCCTGGCTGCTGGGTTCTTGGAGCGCTGGCCCTCCCGTGGCATGTGACAAGGAGTTGTCATGGGTTGTCACGACGTATGACGATCAACTACAGGAGACCCAAAGAGACCACTCACTCCTTTTTCCGACGAATGGCTGTGTATGCCACAGTAGCGACAAACAGAACCGCAAGAGCTCCTGTGACAATGCTGAGCCTGATCACTGCGCCTTGCAGAGCAGGTGCCCTCTGTACCTCCGCTCCTGTTAAGAAACCAGAGGGTTTTTAATTGCCTGATTATTAAGAAGCTGTTCTGGCTGCTCCTGGTTCCCTGGGAAGTTTCCCATCTAGCCGCTAGTGAGTATTAATTATGGAAATGAAATGTACATTTAAACCCAGAAAATGCACACTGTAGAGAAATCTCATAGGGCAAGTCGTTGAAAGCCGATTTACTAAATGACCTCTTTGCCAAATGACCCATTTGCCTAATGACCACTTTGCCAAATGATCAATTTGCTAAAAGCCAATTCGCTGAAAATCGGTTTGTGGGATATCCTGCTTATCAGTAACTGACAGTCAGACGTAGCTTGTCCCAGGCTCCCAATGGGATGTGGGACAGGGGAGGGGCTACAAAACAGTTGTGGCAAAACTCCAAAACTTAAAAAGAAGAAAAATCCTCCATAATTGGGTGAATTGGTCATTCATTTAATTAGTTTTCTACAAAAGGGACTGCTTCCTGTATGTTCACAAGGAGATCATGGGCAGTGGCTTACAAGAAGAGAAAGGATGAATATCACCCCTGCCCTCCTCTCTTTTCCTTTGTTTTTTAGAGGCAGGAATTGGAGTGCAGTAGTGCAATCATAGCTCACTGCAGCCTCAAACTCCTGGGTTCAAGCAATCCTCCCGCCTCAGCCTCCCCAGTAGCTGGGACTACAGGCATATGACACTACACCCAGCTAATTTTTTGTAGAGACAGGGTCTCACTGTGTTGTCCAGGCTGGTCTCAAGCTCCTGGCCCCAAGTGATCCTCCTACCTCGTCCTCCCAAAGTCCTGGGATTACAAGTATGAGCCACTGTGCCCAGCCCATTATTCCTTTTTGCATGTAATTGCTTTAAGCACTGGCTAGATCACCGGACAGTATCTAAGCCTCTCCTGGCAAAAGGAAAGATAGCCAGTGTTTGTAAACAACCCACAAAAGAAGGCAACAGCAAATTCTCAGAGATGATTTTATTCTTCCTTTATATCACCCAGATTGAAAGGGTTTGAAGTCTTAAGAATTTGCAGTCTCATTTCAGACTCTCCCCTCTTGTTTTTTCAGCATCAAGTGGAACAGCAGGGTTTTGCTCCTCCCCTGTGAGCAGCTTTCTGTGCTTCTGAAGGAGGCTGGTTTCTGTATCTGAAAGGGGCGTCTTGGGGGCAGACTGTACACAGTGATTTCCTGAGGACCGGAAGGATTACAGCCCGACTTTCTCTATAGAGCGTCTTCCCTTTGCCTAAAAGGCGCTATGTAAAATGTTACCAGCAGGTCGAGGGATTCCCTACCTCCGCTGCTGTCTGGAGCTATTGGCTTCTTGTTCCTGGGGCTCCAAAGCTGCTGGTAAACAGGATTGTTCTGCTTGAATTCCCTCCTGCCCACCCTTTTTGATTCTTTTCTACCTCAGGACAGAGCAGACTATGCTGATAGTTCTGGTGGCTGCTTCTGTATCTCACCTGGCTGCTGGTTGTAAGAGTTCACAAGCACTTCCTGGGTGACCGCCAGGGAGCCGTTGTGGGTTTGGGGGTGACTCCCAGGAGCTTACACATGAATGGGTAGATGTGGATGCTGTTAAAAGGCTTGGTCAGGCGTTTCTTCTTGAAATCTGGCCCAAAAATTCTGAATATGGTCTTCATATCCATGAGGATATTATCAAAGCCATGGCTGCCTTTGTTGAAATACATTCTCTGAAAAATAATAACAATAAAAAAGCCATTTTAGATTCCAATCCCCTGAAAGAAAACCGTCCCTTAGTTAATGTCGTACTTGTTGGATCCATGAAGTCTTTGAAAATTTAAACTACAAGGACACTGCTCTCTGTGGTGGTGGAGAGAATACCAAGGATTTAAAGGTCTTTCAGAAAGAGAATGTAGAAAGCGTACCCATTGGAAACAGCAAGATGATGTTAATCATACTGACAGCAATAATAAGCTCAAACATATAGAGCTTACTATGTATCGTGAATTGTTCTGAATGCTTTATAAATATATGTGAACTCCTTTACCCTCATGGCAGCCCAGTAAGGGTGCCATTCCTCATTTTACAGCTGGGGAAACTGAGTCACAGAGCTTGTCTGCACTGAGTCATCAGGAACAAATGCTAGATCAGGTAACTGAACGCAGGCAATCTTGTTCCAGAGCCAAATAGATGTATTTTTATGGCATAAAAAGATATACATACGTTTTTAGGGGGAGAATGGGCGTAGGATGGGATGAGGATTCTGAGTAATTGCTTGGTAAATGCCAAATACCTTTCTTGTCTGTCCCTCTTTTCAAGTGATAAAGTAATGTCAATTGTAACTTTTTTTTTTTTTTTAAGAGTCAGTGTCTGGCTGGAGTACAGTGATATAGTCATAGCTCCCTGCAGCCTCAAATTCCTGGGCTCAAGCAATCCACCTATATCAGCCTCCCAAGTAGTTGGGACTACAGGCCTGCACTAGTCTGCCCAGCAAATTATTTTATTTTTTTGTAGAGATGGCAGGTGGTGGGGGGGGGGGGTCTCGCTATGTTGCCCAGGCTGATCTCGAACTCTTGACCTCAAGTGAACCTCCTGCCTCAGCCCCACAGAGCTCTGAGATCATAGGCGTGAGCCCCTGTGGCCGGCTGCAGTACTGTTTATTTATATTTTAGACCAACAGATATTCTAGCATATAAGAAGTGTGATGCTGTCTGTACATTGAAAGTTGGTCTAATATTTGCCCTGGTGGATGCAGAAATTGCCTGTCTGCTCAGCTCTGGTTGAGGAAACCAGTCCGACTGTCTCTGAGGCTGTGGGGCAGTCCATCAAGAATGAATGCCCTCGGCCAGGCGCGGTGGCTCACACCTGTAATCCCAGCACTTTAGGAGACCGAGGCAGGCACATCGCTTGAGCTCAGGAGTTTGAGAGCAGCATGGCCAACATGGTGAAACCCTGTCTCTGCAAGAAATAGAAAAATTAGCTGGGCACGTGCCTGTAATCCCAGCTACTCAGGAGGCTGAGGCGGGAGACTCGCTTGAACCGGGTAGGCGCAGGTTGCAGTCTTCGGAGATTGCACCACTGCACTCCAGCCTGGGTGAAAGAGTGAGACTGTCTCAGGAAAAAAAAAAAAAAAAAAAGAAGGCATGTCCTCATGATGGCCTCAAGCACCTCGGTCCCTGAAGAGAGACAAGGAAAGCCCACTTTACTCTGCACTGCGAAGCAGGTAGGTAGACAGAAATCTGAGAAGTGGATTCAGTGAGACGCACTGACCCAAAGGATTTTCTGCCTAATGGTCAGTTCAGCAGAAGATTAAACTGAGCACAGCGTCCTGTTCCCTGAAACGATCTGGTTGGTCAGTGGGGAATGTTCTTGTCTCGTTAAATGTCCTCATGCTACTGTTAAGCTGTCCTGTTACAAAAGGTCATAAACCAGGTTTACAAATAGGCCAGGTGACTGTGGAATTTCTCCTTGGCAAGGCCTTCGCTGTGGGCGTGCGATTGGTGTCCGTTAATTACAGTGTTCCGGGCCACTTGAGGGATAAAATATACCTTAGGTGATAAATCGTTGTATTTTATTGTGAGTATTTCCACCAACATTAAACAGTAACCCCATGAGTTTTCTCATACCTGTTACGCTCTGGAGTTGCAACAAGCTAACGTGAAGCAAGTTGCAAACATAATTATCACATGTGGCTCCTGTTCACAGCAAGGGTTCTTCAGGCTGTACCTCGGGCAGTTTTCCCTCATATGAGGTTCATAACGTCATTTATTTAATTAATTAATTATTTATTTTTTGAGACGAAGTTTTGCTCTGTCGCCCACGCTGGAGTGCAATGGCGCGATCCTGACTCCCTGCAACCTCCACCTACCGGGTTCAAGCGATTCTCCTGCCTCAGCCTCCCGAGTAGCTGGGATTACAGGCACCCGCCACCATGTTCGGCTAATTTTTGTATTTTTAGTAGAGACGGGGTTTCACCATGTTGACCAGGCTGGTCTCAAACTCCTGACCTGAGGTAATTCACCCTCCTCGGCCTCCCAAAGTGTTGGGATTACTGGCGTGAGCCACCGCGCCTGGCTGTAGCATCATTTAAACTTTGTTTCTGCCATGAATTGTTAAGTTGGTAGTTAACAAAAAATAGACCACCTCGTTTATGTCCCACAGTTAGCATTGGTTTTTGTGTTTTCTTATGCTTGTTTTTTAATTGATTTTAAAATTGTGAAATAGGGTCTTGTTCTGTTGCTCAGGCCAGAGTGCAGTGATACAGTCTTGGCTCACTGCAGCCTCAACCTACTGGGCTCAAGCAGTCCTCCCACTTTAGTCTCCTCAGTAGCTGGGACTACAAACACGAGCCACCACAGCTGGCTGTTTTAATTTTGTAATTAATTAATTTTCTTTTTTTGAGATGGAGTTTCGCTCTGTCGCCCAGCAGGTTGGAGTGCAGTGGCATAATCTCGACTCACTGCAACCTCCACCTCTCAGGTTCAAGCGATTCTCCTGCCTCAGCCTCGGCACCCACCCCCATGCCTGCTTAATATTTTTTAAAAATATTTTTAGTAGCGACAGGGTTTCACCATGTTGGCCAGGCTGGTCTTGAACTCTTGACCTCAAGTGATCCACCCACCTTGACCTCCCAAACTGCTGGGATTACAGGCGTGAGCCACCACACTAAGCCTAATTTTTAAATTTTTTGTAGAGACTGGGTTTTGCCATGTTGTCTAGGCGGGTCTTGAACTCCTGGGCTCAAGTGATCCTCCTGCCTTGGCCTCTCAAAGTACTGGCCCTTATGCCTGGCCCTTAAAGTTGCTTTTTAATAACAGCTTTTATTGAAAGCTGATTCACCTACCATAAATTTACCCATGTAAAGTGTACAATTTGGCCCGGCATGGTGGCTCACGCTTGTAATCCCAGCACTTTGGGAGGCTGAGGTGGGAGAATCGCTTGAACCCAAGTGTTTGAGACCAGCAACATGGCAAAACCCTGTCTCGACCAAAAATACAAAAAAAAATTAGCTGGGCGTGGTGGTGTGTGTCTGTAGTCCCAGCTCCTCAGGAGGCTGAAGTGGGAGGATGGTTCAAGCCCAGGAGGTGGAGGGGGCAGTGAGTTGACATTGCACCACTGCACTCCAGCCTGGGCAACAGAGCCAGACCCTGTCTCTAAATAAATAAATAAATAAATAAAGTGTATAATTCAGTGGTTTTTAATATAGTCACAGAGTTGTGCAGCCATCACCACCACCAATTTTAGAAATTTTCGTTACCCTGAAAGAAATCCTGTATCCATTAGCAGTTACCCCTCATTTCCCCCTGACTACCCCCACCCCTGGCTCCTGGCAACCACTAATCTACTTTCTGTTTCTTTGGATTTTCATATTTTGGGCATATATATATAAATAGAATCATCTAATATTTGTCCTTTGGTGTCTGGCGTCTTTCACTTAGCCTGATGGTCTCAAGGTGTATCCAGCTTGCAGCAGGAATCAGCCCTTCCCTCCATATTTTGGTTGATTAATGTTCTGTCACACGGGTAGACCGGACTTGTTTGCCCATTCATCTGTTGTTGATGGGCGTTTGTGTTGTTGCCACCTTTTGACAATTATGAATAATTTTGCTACGAGCATCTGTGTGTCTTCGTATGAACAGGCTTGCATATTTTTTTGATGTGGGCAAATGAGAACCAGTGGTGGGGGGCCTTTGTGGTGAATTTTTCGGTGATCTGTGTATACTGTGTATAATGATCAGTCAGCAGACTTGGGGGCAGCCCTTAACCTTACATTTCTTTCCTTTTTTTTTTTTTTTTAAGATAGGGTCTCTCTCTGCCACCCAGGCCAGACTGCAGTTGATACAGGGCAGGGGAGCCCCGAAGTGGAGCATAGCACCTCAGGGTTCTTGGCTTTGCCGAGGAAAGAATTCAAGGGCAAGCCGGAGGTGTAGAAGAAAACAGCTTGATTGAGGAGGCAGCGTTAGAGCCCTGTGACTGCTCCTGCAGGGCAGGGCTACCCTGGAGGCAGAGGGTAGCGGCAGAGAGTTTGCAATCACATTTCTACGCACTTTTAATTGCATGTAGATTAAAGGGCAGTTTATGCAGGAATTTCTAGAAAATGGGTAGTAACTTTTGAGTCACTGGGTCATCGCCATGGAAAGGGGCAGTAACTCCCGGATGTTGCCATGGCAATGGTAAACTCACATGGTACACTTGGGGGCATGTCTGATGGAAAGCTGCATCCGCCCCAGCCCTGTTTGAGCTAGTCCTCAGTTTGGTCTGGTGTTGAAGCCCTGCCTCTAGAGTCAGGTCCTGCCTCCTATCTCAGTGGCGTGATTATGGCTCACTGCAGCCTCAACCCCCACCCGGGCTCAAGCAATCCTCCCACCTCAGTCTCCTGAGTTGCTGAGACCACAGGAATGTGCCACTATGCCCAGCTACATTTTTTTTGCATTTTTTGTAGAGATGGGGTTTCACTATGCTGCCCAGCATGGTCTCAAACTCGTGGGCTCAAGTAATCTACCTACCTCAGCCTTCTAAAGTGCTGGGATTACAGGTGTGAGTCACTGCACTCAGCCCAACCTTACATTTTTAATCTTAAGTCACTTCTCTCTAGGTTTTGGTTTCTTCTTTAAAATGGTGGAACTAAGAGCATCTATTTTATAGGGTTGTTGGGAAGGCAAAAATGAAAGAACTGTTACTCAATGTTTAGTGAAGCGCCAGGCACAATTTTGAATAATGAAATTGGTGTTTATTCTTTTTTATTATTTGTTTATTTTTTAGAGACTGAGTCTTGCTCTGTTGCTCAAGCTGGAGTGCAGTGGTGCAATCACAGCTTGCTGCAACCTCGACCTCCTGGGCTCAAGAGATCCTCCCACCTCAGCCTCCTGAGTAGCTGGGACTATAGGCATGCATCCCCACTTCTGGCTGTTTGTTTATTTATTTGTTTTTCTTTTTTTGGTAGAGATGGGGTCTCTTTATGTTGCCAGGGCTGATCTCGAACTCCTGGCCTTAAGCAATCCTCCTCTCTTGGCCTCCCAAAGTACTGAGATTACAGGTGTGAGCCACCATGCCCAGGTTTGTTTTTATTTTTAAATCAGCCTTGTCAAGTTGAATTGGTCATTATTCTTGTATAACGGTAATTTGGGGCAGCATTGGTTGGGCAGGGGGTGGGGAACATTTAGGACCCTGTGTGCTGCTACTCGTAGTGTGTGCACTTATTTCATTTTGTTTTGTTTTATTTTATTTTATTTTATTTTATTTTATTTTATTTTATTTTATTTTATTGAGACAAGGTCTCACTCTGTTGCCCAGACTGGAGTGCAGTGGCATGATCTTGGCTCACTGCAACCTCCGCCTCCCAGGTTCAAGTGATTCTCCTGCCTCAGCCTCCAGAGTAGCTGGAACTACAGGCCCCCGCCACCACACCTAGCTAAATTTTTGTATATTTAGTAGAGATGGGGTTTCACCATGTTGGCCAGGCTAGTCTGAAACTCCTAACCTCAGATGATACACCTGCCTCGGCCTCCCCAAAGTGCTGGGATTATAAGCGTGAGCCACCGTGCCTGGCTGTGCGCTTATGTTTGATTTTTGCAGAACCACCCTTCCCTAGTGGTTGTCTCCTAGATCCAAGGTGACTTTATTCATTTTAGAATGAACTGACCCCATTGATACCGTAACCAGAGTTGGCATACATCACGATTGGCAGAACCCGGTCAGGTTTAGCAAGATGGAAGTGTTCTGGGAACTCCTCCTTCTTGTAGACGTGGAGGTGAGAGTGTGCATTCTTCAGTGCCTGGTAAAGGGCTTCCTCCTGCCCCAGTGTGGTCAGGGGTATCCCAAAGCCACTGTAGTCCACAATATCAAACTTGACCAAGTCCCTAAACTTGATGCAGGTGGACAAGGGGATCTCGTTGACATCGGGTCTCTGCTTCACGGTGGTCATCCCATGGTCTCCTGTGATGATGACGTGGAGGTGCTCTGTCAGGCTGTGCGTCTCAGTGGCTCCCACCAGATACCCGATGGTCCTGTCCATTTGCTGAATCATCAACTTCCTGTTCTCTGCCTCTGGCCCAAATCGATGTCCCATGTTACCTGGCTGTCCATAGTACAGAGTCACAAAGTCAGAGTCTTCCTTGGTGAACCAGTTCATGATAGTATCTATGTTCTCCCTCTGCTCTGTCTCCTTGCTGTTTGGGTGAGTGTAGGGCTCCACCAGGGACCGCTGGACAGCCTCACCCTTGTATTTAGCACCTTCCCTGGGGTAGCGGAACGATGCCGCTTTCTTCCCCTGCACGTGCAAGAAGAAAATTCCATCAGGGCCTTTTCTCATCCCTTTCTCACAATCAGCAAAGCGCGAGTTGTCTGCATCTGTGTCCCAGTCCGAAGGCATAGAAAATGTACAGTCTTTGGAGTCAGACAGGGTGGAGTTAGATTCTGGGCTTCCCCAGGATTTCATAGCATCTACAACACTGTTAGTTACAAGATGTGCTGTTATTTTATGAGCTACTAAGCAGAAAAACGCTGCCAACAAGACCGTGACATTCCAGTGGTTGTAAGGTGTATTCCAACTTCAGAGATGGCAAAATGAAAAATAATTCCTTAGAATAGAGGGGGACGGTAATTTCTGAGTTGTTGGTGGTGAGTCTGTGTGTGTGTGTGTGTTTTGTGTGTGTATATATATATGTATATACACACACATATAAATATATATATGTATACACACACACACACACACACATATATGTAGTGGTACAGTGGTATAATCATAGCTCATTGCACCCTTGAACTCCTGGGCTTAAGCGATCCTCCCACCTCAGCCTCTTGAGTAGCTGAGGCCACAGGCATGTGCCACCATACCTGACTTTTTTTTTTTTTTTTTTGAGATAGGGTCTCACTCTGTCACCTAGGCTGGAGTGTGGTGGCACGATCTCAACTGACTGCAACCTCTGCCTCCTGGGTTCAAGCAATTCTCATGCCTCAGCCTCCCAAGTAGCTGGGATTGTAGACACGTGCCACTATGCCCAGCTAAGTTTTGTATTTTTAGTTGAGATAGAGTTTTGTCGTGTTGGCCAGGCTGGTTTCGAACCCCTGGGCTGAAGTGATCCACCTGCCTTGGCCTCCCAAAGTGCTGGGATTACAGGTGTGAGCCACCGTGCCTAGCCCTTAATTTTTTTTTTTTTTTTTTAATATTTGTAGAGATGAGGTCTTGCTATGTTACCTAGGCTGGTCTTGAACTCCTGTGTTCAAGTGATTCTCCTGCCTCAGCCTCTCAAAGTGCTGGGATTACAGGCTTAAGCCACCACACCCTGCTGGTGGTGAGTTTAAAAATCTCCTAGTGTCTCAGTGTTTCTACCTGTAGAATGACAAAAAGTAGATGGCATCTTTGTGAGGATTAAGCTGGCTAGCTTTTTTTTTTTTTTCTTTTGGAGACAGAATTTTGCTCTTGTCACCCAGGCTGGAATGCAATGGCAAGATCTTGGCTCACTGCAACCTCCGCCTCCTGGATTCAAGTGATTCTCCTGCCTCAGCCTCCCAAGTAGCTGGGATTACAAAGCCAGCTAGCTTTAAGATAAAGTGTTGGGCATCACATTTTGGCATGCAGCAGGCACTCTTTTCTTAGCCCTCAGATGGGACTAAGCCACCACAAGGCTTCCCGGTGTGTGCAGTGGGTGATGAATGCTTGCCTGCTCAGCAGTCACTTCCTGGTGGGCTGGGCCACACTATTCTGACTCCCCCTGGAGCTTCAGCCCACTCCTAGTTTCAGATGTATTGACTCTCCGTGAGAATCCAGAGTTGGGATGTGGCTCTGGCCTGGCCAGAGGACTGAGGATGCTGCATCCCATGGCTACAGCAACTGGCTCAGCTTTGGGCTCATGTCCTAGTCAAAACCAAAGAGATGTGATCTTGAGATACCTGCTGGGTTGTTGGAAAGGGACATCGATTTGGGCCAGAGGCAGAGAACAGGAAGTTGATGATTCAGCAAATGGACAGGACTATCGGGTATCTGGTGGGAGCCACTGAGACGCACAGCCTGACAGAGTACCTCCACGTCATCATCACAGGAGACCATGGGATGACCACCGTGAAGCAGAGACCCGATGTCAACGAGATCCCCTTGTGCATCTGGGTTGCTGGAAAGAGCAGGCTGCTCTGCTCATCCCCATTCCTGATGCTGAGGGACCTAAGAAAATCACTCGTAAAATTTGGGGGTGTTTGGAAGAAAGGGAGACAGATGTCTCTTTCTCTCTACAGACATCTGATCAGCTACAGAGCTTGACTAACCTACCCGGAGGCAGAATGATATGGTGGTTAGAAGTATGCTCTGGGCTGGGCACAGGGGCTCATGACCGTAATCCCAGCACTTTCGGAGGCTGAGGCAGGAGGATTGCTTGAAGTCAGGAGTTTGGAACCAGACCCTATCTCTATAAAAATGTTTTTTAAAAATTAGCTGCTCAGATCTCCTGTGGAAATGTAATCACTCATGTTAAAGTTGGGGGCCTCATGGCAGGTGATCGTATCACCAGGGTGGATTTCTCATGAATGGTTCAGCAGCATCCTCTTGGTGCTGTTTTGCAGTAGTGAGTCCTCACAAGATCTGGTTAAGAGTGTGTGGCGCCTCCCCTTCTCTCTCTTGCTCCTACTTTCACCATGTGACATGACCACTCCCGCTTTGTTTTCCACTATGAGTAAAAGCTCCCTGAAGCCCCCCTAGAAAGTGAGCAGATGCTGGCACCATGCTTGTACAGCCTACAGAACCATAAGCCAATTAAACCTCTTTTCTTTATTTAAAAAACAATTAGCTGGGTTGGTGGTGAATGCCTGTAGTCCCAGCTACTTGGGAGGCTGAGGTGAGAAGATTGCTGGAGCCCAGGAGTTCAAGGCTGCAGTGAGCTATGATCGGGCCACCGCACTCCAGTTTGCGTGACAGAGACCCCTTCTCTCTAATTAAACAACAAAAAAGTGTGTGCTCTGGTGCCGCACTCCCTGGTTAGATCCTTTGTCTACCACTTAGATGCATGTTTTATAAATGCTCTCCTCAGTTTCCTCGTCTGTAACTTGAGGATGATAATGCTACCCCATGAAGTGCTTGTGAGGAGCAAATGCATGTGGGCACATTGGTAAGTATTCAACAAGCTTCATTTTTCCTGGAGAGGGAGAAAGAGCATGGAGTGAGGTGGCATGCTCAGGCGCATTGGGTCAAGAATCATTTCCTCTGGCTTCTGCCTCCTGGGAGGTACTAAGGATGGATCTGAAATGTGTCTGCAGACCCCAGAGTTGGGGACTGCAGAGGGAAATTGAGATCAGGGACCCCAGTCCTGGCAGAAATGGCTGCAGCATGGGGCATTGGGTTCTTTCCATCAGAGGCATGAGGTGTGTTGCAGACAGTCATGAAATGTGGCTGAATCTTGCAAGGGACCCACGGTCCTAGGGTTGCTGCTTGAGACAAAGACCCCTGTCAGTAGAACCTGGTGACCTTCACCCTTCTGTGTCAGGCTGCAGACAGCAAGAGATGGCAGCAGATTACACCCAACAGGAAAAGGGCCATTGCCATCCCACAGGTTGCCATAGGAGGAGATGACATCTCTTCCCTCTCCTTCTCCTCCAGCAGTGTCAGCTGGGGAAGAGGTGGGTGGGTGTGCACCAAAGAGTAGACCATAGACCATGCTCCTTCTCCTCCAGGCTGCTGGGGCCCCCAGAGAGTCTGCAGCCCTTGGCCAGGGACCAGCTGACACAGGAAGACAAAAGACCTTAGGCTGGGATAACATGGGGGTGCAGTTCATCCTCTGGAGCTCCCTGTGGGGTCCGATTGGAGCTGGTCTCCAGCTGAGACCACATCTCACTTAGCTCCTTCCCTGCCATATACTGCTTTCCTTACTCCTATCTCCTGAGAGTTCTTCCTGAATGAATTACCTGCACTCAGTCCCTGCCTCAGGCTCTGCTTTTAGGGAACTTGACCTAAGACAGAAATCTTTTTTTTTTTGAGACGGAGTCTTGCTCTGTTGCCCAGGCTGGAGTGCAGTGGCCGGATCTCCGCTCACTGCAAGCTCCGCCTCCCGGGTTTACGCCATTCTCCTGCCTCAGCTTCCCGAGTAGCTGGGACTACAGGCACCCACCACCATGCCCGGCTAGTTTTTTTGTACTTTTTTAGTAGAGACGGGGTTTCACCATGTTAGCCAGGATGGTCTCGATCTCCTGACCTCGTGATCCGCCCGTCTCGGCCTCCCAAAGTGCTGGGATTACAGACTTGAGCCACCGCGCCCGGCCAGAAATCTTAATCCTAAATACTTTGCAAGGCCTCAGAGGCTCTGCTATCCACAGGCAGGTGAGATATTACCTTCCCTACCGCCTGGCAGTCATATTCTATGATGCGATTCAACTTCATGGAAGTGTTTCTCTAAAGAACTTCCCCCAATTTAAGATGATCTTAATTTGCTTACTTGTTTATTGTCCATTTAGCTGCTCTAAAATGTGAGCTCCAAATCAGGAGCCATGTCCGGTTCATCACCCATTTCCTGGGACCTAGAACAGGCCTAGCTCAGAGCAGATGCTTACCATTGATGGAATGCATGTTGAATGAATGCATGAACCTCATCTCCTTTTGTGGGTGAAAAGCTCATCCTACTCTCACTCCTGATTAACTTTCTTTTTTTTTTTTTTTCAAGACGGATCCATGATCTGTCACCCAGGCTGGAGTGCAATGGTGCCATCTCAGCTCACTGCAACCTCCGCCTCCTGGGTTAAAGCAATTCTCCTGCCTCAGCCTCTGCGTAGCTGGGATTACAGGCACCCGCCACCACGCCCGGCTAATTTTTTTGTATTTTTAGTAGAGATGGGGTTTCACCATGTTGGCCAGGCTGGTCTCGAACTTCTGACCTTGTGATCCTCCCGCTTTGGCCTCCCAAAGTGCTGGGATTACAGGCCTGAGCCCCCGTACCCAGCCACTCTTGATTAACTTAATGGAAATATTTACAGAGATTCTTTCTCTTCTGCGTTCTAGCGTCTAATCTGTAACCTCTGCAGGCAATGCATTTTCCTTTCTGATAATAGCATTTCTATGGTTGCTTTAACATGCAAATCCTCTAATACTTATTTATTCCATTTCTGATTGGCATTAGACATAATTCTCAGTTTTTAGTGACAGCACTTTGTCTAACTTACATATAAATCGACTTTGCCTTGAAATGTGAAATTGACCAGAAGGATGAAACTTCTAACGTGCTGTGGAACATAGTTTGACTGGCTAATTTATTATTTAGAAGAAGCTAATATTGCCGTTATGAGGGACTCAGGTGACTCTGAAGAACCAGTTGTATTTCTGATGTTTGCAATGTTAAATCACAGATGTGGCCAACTTGAAATAGTTTCCGTACGCTGTGTTCTCAATACACA